AAAATTGGGGAAAATTCAACTGAGTAGAGTCTTCATCTTTAAACTGCAATTTTGTCTCTCTAAATTAGAGCAATGAACACTCTTTCACAAGCACACACTTGAGAATAACTTGACCTTATTTTCTTATGAAGTTGCAGTCCATAGCTCCTTTAATGGAAATATACTTCTTTAAAATGAAAATATAATACTAATTATATTTATATGGTTTGCTAAAACTTTTGGGCTACTTTATTTTATTAACATGGAAACTACAGTGGCCAGTCAGAGTGAGCAGGGATTATTTTGCTGTTAAATGATAAGAGTCTTGCTAATATTTCTGTCTGTTTAGTATTAGTTATTTATTGTACTATTTCATGTTAAGCTTCACATGCTTCTGAAATTACTGGCCTCAGTCATGTAGTAGAGATTTGTAATTATGGATTTCTGTATACAGAGCTTATAAAAGTTACTATGGGCCTTTGCAGACTGCCAGAAATAGTGCAAATTGAGTCCACTTTAACTGCCCTGACTCAGTGCTAGGGAATCATGGGAACTGTAGTTTATTGTGGCACCAGAGCTCTCTGACAGAGGAGGCTCAATGTCTCAGAAAAAAATACAATTCCCATGATCCCCTAGCACTGAGCCAGGGCAGTTAAAGTGGACTCAATATGCACTATTTCTAGAAGTCTGCTAAGGCCCTATGACTCTCAGACTCTCCTGGACTTCTGGGTAGTGGCATTACTGGGTGGTGCGGGGGGGGGGGGGTCCGGGACACATCGGGTTACACCCCAGAAGAGGGGGTTGACACCCGGTTGGCTCCCTGCCCCCTTAGGCACTCATTGGGGCTGTGTGGGTACCATGCCAGACCTTAGGGAGGTCTCCAGCCCGGGAGGGCAGTGAGCAGCCATTTCCACGGCTCATGCAGCCAATTCTCCCGGCCGTACAGCTATTTCCCTGGCCTGTGCGGCCATTTCCCCGCCCCCAGATGTCCCATCCAGAAGTCCCTCCCTCAGAAGTCCCACTCTTCCTGCACTGGGTGCCACCCAGTGAGGATCCCCACTGATTCTGGAAGCTTTAGTCCAAACAGTTATTATTCCATGTTGTGGCAGTGGATGCATGTAACATATGACCTAACTAACAAATCTAACAAATGAGACCTGTATGAGCTTGGGCCTAGTTTGAGTACAAATGGCTGTTCAGGGGGGCAGGAAGAAAGTGGGCTGGACCAAGTCTAATTTCCTTGCTTTCTGCTCTTTTCCTTAGTGCCACCTCCAGTAGATTGAAGAAAGTATTTGGCATTGCTCAAAGCTTCATAATAACAGGAACTGCCCATGCATGCAAGAGTTGCTGGTGGCGCAGTGGTTAAATGCCTGTACTGCAGCCACTCACTCATAGACCACAAGGTTGCGAGTTCAATACCAGCCAGGGCTGAGGCTCGACTCAGGCCTGCATCCTTCCGAGGTTGCTAAAATGAGTACCCAGCTTGTTGGGGGGCAATCAGCTCACAGTTGTAAACCGCTTAGACATCCCATAGTGTGATATGAAGCGGTATATAAATAAGCTGCTTTGCTTTGCTTTGCTTTTATAGCTGGTTCTCATTCAGTTAGAGAAAGACATGTTGAACCCTGGTTTTTTTGTAATAAAGACCTAGGTGGGAAGAATTTAAAAGATGTTCATACAGTCAGCCCTCCACATCCACAGATTCTTTATCAATGGATTCAGTGATCCACAGTTTGAAAATATTCCCAAAAATATATAAATTCCAAAAAGCAAACTTTGATTTTTTTTATTTATTTTATATGTTACTATTTCATTACACTATTATATTTAATGGGACTTGAACATCTACAGATTTTGGTATCCACATGGGTCCTTGAACCAAAACTCAGAAAATACCAAAGGCTCACTGTACTATATTACTGTGTACCAATTTGCAGCCTACTTGATTGAATTCAGGTCTAAACCCAAATTAAGGTTCAGAAAATTAAACCTGTGTAACTTTCATTAATAGCAGTAGAAATTAAAAAGTACTTTAATTTCTTTTGTGACAGAACTATAATGAATTGCCAGTGGAAATTAAACACAAAAAGTTCCAGAGAAATAGATACAAGTTTTGGGTTTTTTTAAGTGAGAGGTTGGTTTTTTTTGTTTTTGTTTTGCTACGTGGTTTTAAATTTTGATTTTGTTAAAAAAAAAGGGGGGAAGATGGCCAATAGCTTTATCCCAAGGCAAAATGGAATGAAATTTACAGGGGCATATGTTTTCTAAAGAATGGCTGAATTTGAATTTGATTAAGTTGTTTGCCATACAAATATCAGGACCTGGAGTTCAAAAACAGACACTTAGGAAGTCTCACCTTGGTAATATCCCACATGTAGATGAAATTACCAACTTGCATTAAGGTGAGGTAAATATGTTAATACAATTATTTTGTGCATCCAGTTTAAATGCACTCACATGTGCTGCAGCATCAGGTCACTTTACTTTAAAACTTACTTTATGGCTATTAAAACACAGTTCAGCAATTTCAAGAAGCCGTATACTTCAGCCAAATGAAGTAGTGAGAACCAAGAATGATTCAGCATATTTAAACCATCAATCAGAGAAAAGAATTCATATGAATACTGTTGGATGAAATAAAGGACACAAAAAAGTCAGAACTAGGATTGAACACTTGACAGGAATTCACAGACAAGATATACACTGGGTAAAATTGAAGAGTTACACCAAAATGTGGCAGACTGAGGGCAAAAGATAAATGTATCTTTTTCCACTTCTGGAACAGAGCAATATTGTCACAACCATACAATATTTATTTTCTATCTGCAAAGATTAGTTTGAGATATCCCATACAACCCAATAAAACCATTACCTACTTAATACCAAGCCTACCTCCAAATTTCAGGTGAAGGTGGAGAGCTATAACCATGCAAATCAACCTTGGTGGTAGGGATGCAATCCTTCACTAATTTTCTTCTCAAAGGAAGCAGCAAATAAATTTAGCTGTCTTCCACCCCTGTGAGAAAGTCTTCAAAAATAACTCAATTTTTGAAATCCATTCACATTCACAATTTGGGGCTTATTTTGCACAACATTTGCATGTGGCTGAGTTGCACAGAACATGATTTTTGCAGAGAAATGGTATTTTATATGCAGAAAATGCTGTTTCCTGGGCAGATATTTGTGCAAAACAACTACATGTGAATTTTGTGCAGTTTAAGTTCTGAACTGCAAGATTCTCATCAGTCCAGGATTCTTCTCATGAGGCCTTTTTTGACATATGAAAAAAACATTATTTTTTAAAAATAATATTTGGATTATTTTCAAATATTCTTTCCATCTCTACTTGGTGAGCCTTCTGAATGTCAACTCTCCTCTCCCATATCAACCATCTTGATGGTGTTGGCACTGTTACTTACCTGATGTCATTATTATTATTATTATTATTATTATTACCTTTCTCCCAATAACGGGACTACTCAAGGAGGCACACAGAAAATTTGAAACAATACAATTTAAAACAATACAAAATCATAGCAAATGTATAAACATAAAATTAAAAAAAACACAATTGCACAATTTTAAAAGTTAAAACAATTATGCATCAAAATTTAAACTGTATTAAAAACTCTAATCAAATTTAGCATTTAGATAGCATTTAAACCCTTGTCAGTGTGACACCTGGATAAGGCCACTTTCTTGTGAAAGACAGAATAGTTGCCCTGGTGGCACAGTGGTTAAATGCCTGTATTGCAGCCACTCACAGTTCAGTACCAGCCAGGGGCTCGAGGTTAATTCAGCCTGGCATCCTTCCAAGGTTGTTAAAATGTATACCCATCTTGTTAGGGACAATTGGTTTACACTTTGTAAACTGCTTAGGGAGTGCTTAAGTACACTGATAAGTGGTATAGACATGTGTTTTTGTGGGATTTTTGGGCTATGAGGCTGTGTTCTAGAAGAATTTCTTCCTGATGTTTCCCCTGCATATGTGGCTGGCATCTTCAGAGAATGATGGCATGGAAGTGAGTGGACTATACATATACTGTGTGACCCTTGGTATAGAAATGTACTTGCTATTGGTATTTATCTTCCTAGAATAGCTATAGCCAAACCTAAGCAGCCAGGCAACCTTAGGGCCTGTACAGACCATCCAAAAGGACTGGCCTGGGGGTGGAGTTGGGGTGGGGCAATTGCACACCGGCTACCCCGCTGCCGCCGTCATGCCACACACCCCACCGCATGGTGCACAGCATCAGGGCACTCCCCTGGCACAGCATTTAGACACTCTGCACCAAAGGAGTGCAAAAGATCACGGCAGCGGCAGTGAGGGCAGCTTTTTGATGCTCCAAAAAGGAGCAGCATTTGCCAGCTCTTTTTGGAATGGCAAAGAGCTGGATCACGGCTGAGGCATGTGGTTGCCGCAGCCCTGATCTGCTGCCCCCAGGGGCGACACGGAGAACCCCCTAGTCAGCCTGAAGAACCCCCTAGTCAGCCTGAAAAGAGATCACTTCATGCTATTGTGAAGATTATTTTCCCTCTTTCACTGTGAAACAGGTAAGCACTGTGGTTTACCTGCTGGTAGGGTAGACTGTTTCTTCACAGAGTTTGTTGTTGTTGTATGCCTTCAAGTCGTTTCCAACTTATTACAATCCTAAGGTGAACCTATCATGGGATTTTCTTGGCAAGATTTGTTCAGAGATTTCCCAGTGCTTTCCCCTGAGGCTGAGAACATGTGACTTGCCCAAGTATATCTAGTTGGTTTCATAGCTAGGTGCGGAATTGAACTCTGATCTCTAGAGCAGTAGTGCAACACTCAAACCACTGTGCCAAATTGGCTCCCTTTCTACGAGTGCCTTTTCCCAATAATTAACAAGGGCAATACAGGACCAGCTTTTACATGTATAGAGTATCTTCTCCCTCCACATCTTTTCAGCCCAACTGAAATGGCAATTTTTCTGCAGCAATCTAGGTTCCATTATGCATTGATTGTTGTTGCGAAAGTATTAGAGCATTTTCATGTCTCTAGCATGGTGTAGTGGTTTGAGTATTGGACTATAACTCCAGAGACGAGGGTTCAAATTCCCACTCAGCCAGAGAAACCCACTGGGTAACCTTGGGCAAATCACAAAGTCTCAGCCTTAGGGGAAGTCAATGGCAAACCCCTTCTCAACAAATTTTATCAAGAAAACCCTGTGATAGATTTGCCTTAGTGTCGCCATAAATCAGAAATGACTTGAAGGCATACAGCAACAAAAACAAGAAATAAGGATAGGTTTAATAAGGGCAGATCAGAAGCAAAGTTTCTGGGATTTGCATAGCAGTACACCCCCTCCCCCCAGTAGTTTATAGTTCTAAAACATCTTTGGATAAGGTGATTAAACTGGGAATTAAAATAAAAATCCATAATTAACCAACACCATGATAGAATCCACTGAGGAAACTAGAGATGAGTCTGCATACTGAAAACTTGATTTCAATCTCCCAAATCTGAACAGAATTCTATACTCCTGTAGCTGTCACCTCCCACGTTCAGCTCTCCCACATTCAGTTCACACTCAGATCCTCTCCAAAGACATTACTGGTGGTCTTGCTGTACATGATACAGCTGTTTCTCCCACACTTCCTAGACATCCTCGCCAGAAATCCTTTTCCAAAATCCAATCTCCTCCTTCCATGTTGGGCTTGGATGCTATTTGAAACAGTCCCTGAGAAATACAAAAGTCACACACCAGCTGCCAGTTCTTTTCACCTACACTAGTTGCAAGTAACTTGTGGTTTCAATTCAGACTTTGAAAAAACAAAAATAAAAAGTGTTTCTTTTAAATTGTTGTCCTTTGCTTTTGTTTTTAAAAAGGCCATTTGTACTGTGGAAAGGCCAAGATATCACTTTAAAAGGGTAGGATGGGTGTGTGCATGATCCATTTACAACAGTAGGAATATATATATGCTACACAGTTACAAAAGACTGGTATCATTTTCACTGTTTGGGCACCCTCCTACAGACTCCTGGGATTTGCAATTTGGTAGGGTACTTTGACTACTCTGGTAAATTTTTCTAGTGTACTTCCCTGAACAAAAAACACTAGCTATGATCTAGAAGAGGATGCTAAGGAACTCACTAAACCAATCCCAGGATTTCAAAGGGATGGAGTCATGGAAGCTGAAGCATTAAATTATAATATGAATATGAATCCAGTGTATTAATATATTTGCAGTTGGTTCAGGTGATGAAAAGCTTATTTCATGAAAGTTTCTAAGGGGAGGTCCAAAGCATATATACCAAGTGCCCAGTCTCCAGAGTGTTAGGGAGGGTGAAGGACAGCAACAAGATTATTCCAGAATATACATGGAAATAGCATTTGTAATGGCACTGAGCAGAATCAGATTCATTATGTTGGTGTCTCAACTATCATCCAGGTGGGCAACTACCCATAAAGCTACATCTGAAGAGAGAACCTGGACAAAGTGTGCAAAAGTTATCTACAACTCCCCTTCCTTGCTATCTTCATTATTTACTCAGATAAGAAAGGTGAGCAAGAAAGCAAGATAAGTTGTTTGCTCCAGGGATTGGCAAAGGCCCAATAATGCCAACCTCTAGCTAGCTACATCCCCACCAGGAAAATGGGGAAAAGAAGGAGGCTGCAATGTGTCTTACCCTCTGCCTGATAAGATCATTCTCCTTTCCTAGAAGGTAAAAAAGCCCAAAAACCTTTTAGACCAGGTTAAATTTTTCCAGTTGAATATCTCATCCATTCACTATTTCTTCCAAGTGGTTTGGATTTGCAACAAAACTGTGGCATTTCTTTATCCCAGTCTCATGTGCAACTCTCTTGGCAACCCTGTTTCCCCGCTCCAGGCAAAGTAGAAGAAAACGGCTGGGTTTTCTATAGGAATCCTATTAAATCATGATCAAAAGGGAGAATGTTGGCCTGGCAGACTTGAAAATAGCAGCCTGTACTTCCTTGAGCAAAAACAGCAACATGATTGATTGCGTCTATGATTCTAGCAAGCTCTTTTCCTCAACACAAGCCAGACACCAGAGGGAGATGTGGTGACATGGAGTGAGATAGTAGTTTGCCCCAGGGTCTGAGTGCCAATTTATGGTTCAGCTTTTTAAAATATGGCTTTGTTTCTGGTGAGCCCTCTTGGCAATTTATATGCTGGCAAAATGTTCCCATTGAAAAGTTGTGCGAAATCCTGTGATAATAAAAAATCAGACTTTGCTGCGGCCCAGTTTATGAACTGATCCATGAGGGTTTCTCCTTTCTCTCCTTTTAATTTAAATTGATCTGATGCTACTGATCTTCGAGTTGGCTGTTGCCTCTCGACTCACTCATCATGTCATCTTGTGAAATGAACAAAGTACATTTTGAGACTTAAACTGCTTGTGAATGACTGACAGAACAAAGTAGCAAAATGCAAGGAAGATTAAGTCAGAAAGATGAAAGGGACTGAAGGCCAGTATTGAAACAGAAAATACAGTGGATGGATACACATGAAAGGAATTATGTGTGTCACATGTAAGGATGGATGAATCAGTCTATTTCTGGCCTTTGACAGCTATGTCATTCATAAGTTTGTTCCATTTTGTTTCCACTATGATATGAATTGTTAAAAAATCAGAAGATTTTGTATTTACTTTTCTCAGAAAATACACATAGACATTTACATTATTAAAATGAGTAGGTTTAGGCACATTTTTAACACTTGTAAATGTGATGTCCTAGTATGTGTTGTAGTAAGAGGAAATGCTTTGTTGTTGTTGAAAGGGGGTAGCATTTCCCTATAGGCCTTTACATTTCTAGCTGTGAACTGCATAGCAAACTTTGAAGAATGGTAAAATCCAAATTTCTACCACTCTCCACCAATCTGGAACTTGGAGATAAGTTGGGCTTCCTTCTGAGATGATTTTTGGGTACTACTGTCCAAAAAAGTAACTGTACAAGGCATAACTTCTATTCATGTTTTCTTGAAAGTGAGTGGAGGTCTTTTTCACACTTTTGTGCTCAGTGAGAAAAGAGTAGAAACAGCATGTATCACCCTTTTAAGATCTGTGTGTAAGCAGATAGCCTGCATAGGGTTAATGTTATAGTTTTATGAAAACTAAATATTAAATTTTCCTTTTAAAGTAGTAAGACAATACATACTTTGCTTAATCTAAAATAAAAAATTATTTCACTAAACCTCAGTGATGCATCTCAGAGTGCAATCCTCTACTCGTCTGTTCAGACATAAAGTCAGGCAGCATCTACACTGTTGAATTAATGCAGTTTGACACCACTTTAACTGCCAATGCTCTGGAATTCTGGGATTTGTGGTTGTGTGAAATATTTAGCCTTGCTTTGGTGCCACAAAAACTACAAATCCCAAGATTCCATAGGATAGACCCAAGACAGTTAAAGCAGTGTCAAAATGCATTAATTCTGCAGTGTGGCAGCAGCCTCAGTTAAGTTCAAGGAGATTTGTGGAATGTATAGACACATATTCTCAACATTTTAGTTAGCGTTGCTTTCCAGTACGATGATCTATATCTTTGTTTGTTGTTGCTGTTAGCTGCCCTCAAGTCAGTTCTGAATTAGGATGAACCTGTGGATGAGACATCTCCAAGAATCCCTATCTTCCACTTCCTTAAGCAGATTGCTCATTGCTCATAACCCCTCTGATTGAGTCTATCCATCTGGTTTGTGGTCTTCCTCTCTTTCTTCTACCCTCTACCTTTCCTAGCATTATTGTTTTTTCTAGTGATCTGTACCTTCTCATTATGTGGCCAAAATATGATAGTCTCAATTTGATCATCTTTGCTTCCAAGGAGAGCCCTGGTCCGATCTGTTCAAGAACCCATTTGTTTGTCTTCTTGGCTGTCCATGATATCCTAAGTACTCTTCTTCAGCAGCACATTTCAAATGAGTTGATTTCATTTCTGTCTGCTTCCTTCAGTGTCCAGCTCTCACATCTGTACATGGTAATTGGGAATAAAATGGCCCGAACAATTCTGACTTTATGTCTTTGTTCTTCAGTATCTTTTCCAATTCTTTCATAGCTGCCCTT